AAACGCTTTCATGTGTAAACCTTCAATCTCTCGGCAATAGCTACGGTGAGCGCGTCGACGTTATCATGTTGAGCTTAGCTAAACAGCCTTCGGCAAGGCACGTGTTATAAATGACAATTAAGCGAATTCAGGTATAGCCGACAAGACGGCTTTTAGTTTATGTTATGGAACATATATATGTATATATATATCCAGTTGCATGTATGATACCGGCTGCATTAAGCATTGCTTCGAATGGTTGGCGGCCCTTTTGATTACGGAAAAAACCGCGTGGGTATACCCAGTTTTTTATTTCTGCACGCGAACACGTTACCGCTGCACCGTTACAAAGACCAAAATATATATATATATATATATATATACATAGACAGCCATCTGCTCATGCAAACGGATGCATCACTCGGCGAAAAAGCATGTGGTCCACGATTCCTCACGGTAGCTGCTGTGGGTCAACCAGAGTTTTTAGGAAATTTAGACTATGGTTTTACCCAACCATAACGGAAACATTTTCTAGATCAACCAGCGGTTCTTTTTGCTGCTAACCGTCGCGTCCACAGAAAACATTTTTTTCTAGCAGAAAAACCAAGGAAAGCCTGAAGCTTCATGGTGATGAAAACTTAGAGGCAAATAAGGATATCGATGTAGTATTTTGGCTTAATTTACCAACAGCACCGATTCGTCTGTATATATTTATATACATTTATTGTCAGTTGCTTCCGACTTAGAAAAAATAAATGTACGTCTAGCTAGAGAAAAGACACGCGTGAGCCCTGGCTGGCCTTAGGTCGTCTTCACCACAGCACTTATTATACTTAGGACTGCCACTTAAATCCACTGTCTTCTACACCTTCTGAAAGCTATATGACACAGCATGTGTCTGATTTTTAACCGTAAACTGGATATGGCTGAGGCGGTCAGGGCGGCATGTTCTGAGCGTCCGCCTACAATTATTGCGCTCTCAAGAAAGCCGCAGATACCGCTGGGTTGACGATGCCTGTCTAAGCGTTTTCTTGGCTTTCAGTATCGTTCATATCATGCGTGATTTAATGAGGGATTGCGCCTTCTACAACCTGACTTCTCCGAAGAGGCCTTACGAGTGCCCTTTTGTGGGTGGAGTCTTCCATTAATTCTTTAGGTCTGACCACTAGTGCCTTACTGGGACGGTAGGTTTACGGAGGACTGTCAGACTCGGAGCTAAAGAAACTGAATGTGAAGTATCACTAGTTTGCCCGGCCCTGGCCAAAAATGATCCCTTACTTAGCCGGACCCACTCTGATCAAATGGCTCCCCATTTTACCTAACAAAGGAGCTTAAACGCTGCCTCGAGAAGCAACGTGACCATCATTCCGCGACGTTAGTGTTGTACCTACAGGAGAAATGTTTTTCTAGGAATCCAGAGCGTTGTAGACTTGTGAACGAAATGCGACCAACACCCAGGACAAGCCTTTCATACTCAGTGGCAATAGTCGGATTCTCGTTCTGAATAAATTATTATTTATATAAATTATTATTATAACGACGTTATTGTGATTAACGAAAGCTGAGTGCGCTTTGTATTTTTTTTTTCGAATAGCTGCGTAATCTGAGTGAAAAACGCTAGACTTTATTGGTGCTTGCTGTGGATTGTAGGTGCTCAGCACGCGCGTGTTGAAAATAAGAAGAATTTTTTGTCTAATGCTTGTGAGTTAGCTTTTTTTTTTTCAATCAAATTGTGTAGCATTTATGTAGCATAGGATGGACTTCAATCAACGTGTAAGTAAGCCCAGTGAAGCACCGTTCGTTTACCCTTTGTAGCATCTAATTGCCCCTGCAACATGTGTTACAATGAGTGGACAGAGCCGAGCTGGTGGATTTATGTATCCGCTTACACAAATCGTTGATTGAACATCAACTGAGGGTCAACTGAGAGATAGGCTAGATGCTATTGCACAGAAGCGCATTTATTCACCGTACTTACAAAATTCACACGGTGAGATCTGAGGCTCTGGCAGAGGTAAAAATGCCGCTTATTCTGTATGATACCTCGTTCAATACTAGAGTGTTCGTCATGCGACCCGGTTGTCAAATGTATGTCAACTGAGCAGTTGGTTCTTGTTGCTACAACGACTTGGTCAGCTTCACTCAGTGATCTAGTTAGCGAAAAAAGCCTTTCATTATCGAAAGTTACTACTGCTTAGAGTATTCCATATTCCGAGCGTTAGCACACGCATGCAGACAAAGGATGCCCTGTACCGAAATGAAAAATATTTTCCATGTAGTTGCCTGTCCTTACTATGGAGTACATGTCATCGAACCGAATGAAAAGAAAATATTATTTAAAAACGTGCTATCGTAGAACAACAATGGTTCGAAGTGCTCGAAGCACTACAAGGGGCTGCATCTCATCCGCTTAAAGCTCAGACGATGATGACAAGATCAACAGTGTTTAATGCTCTACTTGTAAACTGGCACAAATACCGTCATCAAAGCAAAGGCATGAAATGCTGATAAAGGAAGCTGTGGTGGACACTGCGCGACAGATTCTCGAAAGCTGGGAAAAGTCTGACTGTAAAATCCTCTCTAAATATTCTGCGAACCGAAAACAGAGTACTGAAGGACAACATGCCATGGCTAAACATAAGACTGAACTGCTCTCTTCGAGCGTCTCAAAACAGGAGTACTACTTAAAATAGAAGTGACTTTAAAGTTCAACTCGAAAGAAGAAGGCTTACAAGAAGCGGCTGAAGGCCACTCGCCTGCGATCTCGTAACCGGTCACAGTCCCTTAAGAGACTCTCAAACATTACGCACGTGCAAAGAGAGGCACATCGGCTTAGAATTTTTAAGGTAGCACAGAAGATGCCGCAGCACTACGAGTACAAATAATTAAAACGCGACCGAACAAAAAACGATCGGTCAAATAAAAAATAAACATTCGCGACGTGTTTGCGAGCGGGGCGGTCGAGGCCGCTAGTGCTGACGACACGTACAACAATCTCAAAGGTAGTTTATGCACCCGATAGTGGTAAAACTACGTATATCTAAAAAATCTCTATAACATGCTAATCCATTCTACGTTGAAATGACCAAGATAGAGCTTAGTGGTCCATTCTGAAGATAGGGGAAATATTATGCTCTACGAATTCACGCATCTGTTGAGATCCCGATATCAAACTATGGGGTATACTAACAACTTAGCGATGTACTACTTACCGTTGTTACGGGAGGGGACCATCGAAGAATGCAAACTATGCTAGCTCAATTTTATAGACAGACATGGGCACTTGACCCAGAACTTGCAACTTATAAACGTCCCGTCATGCACTTTAGGCAAAACAACGCAAATATGAAAAATTAATACATTAACAATTGTCAACTGGCATTAACAAATATAGCAATTACGCGTCGGACATTTTGATTTGCGTTTTTAGTAGAAGAAAACTTGATCTTAGGCTCCGAGTTAATAAACCAAATTTCTACATGTAACTATTCGGCTAGCACATGCTGCCATTTGCCATACATGCGTGTCTAGTATGGAACATATTGGGAACAAAAGTTCTTGCAGCGGGTATAAGACCAACTTGTACGGCATGTTATCTTTAGACTTTACACTGATTTCGATTAAATCATATATAATGATGTCGTAAAAGCACGATACAAAAAAAGATCTGAAGATCCTAAGTAAACTGAGAAGCAACCTACGCCGAGGCATCTATTTTTATGATTTTTGCAGTTATTAGAAGCGCATAGAACACACAGTCAAAAGCAACAGCAACAAAAATCAGTTTCTTTTACAAAAAATTAAGTAACCTTTTTTTTTGGCATAAAAATTGTACTATTTGGAGCAGCGCGACCTTACACATCTACCATCGAAAAACAAACCGTCGACTAAAAGAACGGCTGCGTCGTTACTGTTGCTATTAGAAAAAGAAACAATGGTAAATGGCCGTGTGCGATGTGTAAACGCAATCATTGGATGTCAAAGGGCAGAGTCGTTCAGGCGGACGGCCGACAAGACAAGGGCAAACTAAGCGAATTACTCCAGAAGGTCACGTTCCCACAATATCATAGTTGCATATATTATGCAATTATTTCGCAAATAACAGCAGAAGAAGCTGGAGTTGGAACCACTGATCTTCGTACAGCTAGTAACTTGATATCAACAGTAAGTTGTTTGATGACCTCTTTAAGGTTGGGTAGGCCAATCCAGCTAGAGCAACGAGCGACTGAACAAGCAAAGGACAGATACGGAGCTACTATCCTTGGAATTCTGTTTCTTCCCTCTCCTAAAGTACCACCCATAGTACCGGAACCCAACCTGTTCTCAGGTAGTTGAATTATTACCCACATAGTTAAACTGTTATATGTAAAGACGGTCGTCGGGCAAGCCGTACACGGAAGTAGAGCAGTGGCTCACAGTAACACGCGAGGAGAATAAACTGGTCAGCGGAGATTCACGTTTAAACAATACAAAAAAAGGGAAAATAGTCACGAAATTTCTCCTAGTTTAAGGAAACGATCAATTATGCCAAGGCTTGATTAAAGACGACCTTGCCCGGACCGACATTACTAGCAGCTGCGTCGACTGACGACCACATAGGGGGAGATGAGTTCAAAAGATGCCTTCGGTGCCGATATAACTCTTTAGTTATGTATTTTAAGGAGTCGCATGCGTATACAACACATCAAAATACGCGTGATAAGAAAGTCATTTTATTCAACCCGATAAGAACAAGAAATATTTTGAATACGAACTCTTAACGATCAATGAAGTAGTGTCATCATACACTGAAGTTTTAAATAAAAAAAAAAAAAAAAAAAAGTAATATTTCTTAATCATATCTAGCCCCATCGAAAGCCTCTCAACGCAATCGTTGATAAATTTTGCTCCTCAACAATTTGTTTCTACATTTATTTGTAACTTGCTCAAAAAACATCCGTAATTATCCTGTATGTATAACATGTTATTACCTTATAAAACGAGTTTTGTGTGTGAAAGCGTTTTTGCTCCCTAAAGTTTACCTGTTTACCTGAACAGAACACCTATATTTATAGATCAATATTTGACCTCGAAAGTAGTTCTGTTTTGTCGACGTTTTGTCTTTCTTCGATGATTCCATTGATCTGATCCTATCCCGTCAAAAGCGTATTGGTTTAAAGAGGAGTCAGTCACACTAAATGACAGCATGTAAAACGTAAATGACTCCACAATACAGTGCAGGGGGGCGGGCATTCGCCGTTACAGCATCGCTTGCCATCACATCCATATTCCATCTCGTTTCGTATGCTATGCCCCCTTCTAACAATTATTATTATTATTGTCATTTTTTCTTTCTATCTGGCGGCTTATTCATCTCGTTCCCTGTTCTGTGCAGTTGTCTCTACAAGGATGTTGGACCGGAGGTGAGCACGAGTGTATCGAGAAGGCCGCCATCAGCGAAAATAGTAGCGCCTGCTATAAGCGGCGGGGCGGTGATGCTGACCTAGTCTTCTGCTGTTGTCTCGACTACATGTGCAACCAAAACTTCGTTCCCCTACTGCCTATACCAGATCCAACGCCTACGGCGAATAAGCCTGCAGTCGACTCGGACGACTGGCTCCCGCACGAACAATCGAGCTTCACGGACAGCTGGAAGTACACAGTGATCCCGCTGATTGGCGTTCTCGCCATCATTGGCGTTATCATTCGCTGGAAGTACGGGCAGAATCGGAAGCGTCACGCGTCTAATCAGTTCGGCTACGACAACCAGCTCGAGAAGAGTTCATCGGATGTGGATAGCGTTACACTTGTCGAGCCCGCGGCACAGGGTCGTTTTGGATCAGTCTGGAAAGGTAAACACAATGGGAAAGATGTTGCCGTCAAGGTGTTCCCGCCAAATGAGAAACAAAGCTGGGAGCGAGAAAAAGAAGTGTACCGCCTACCGCAAATGCAACACCTAAATGTATTGAGCTTCCTTGGGACGGGCCCGAAGACTAACGCGCAGACAGGGCTCACCGAATACTGGTTGTTGACGGCGTGGCATCCACTTGGCAGTCTGCACGATTTCCTGCATCTCAACACGGTCACGTATGACCAGCTGTTGCATCTGGCTGATTCGATCGCCAAAGGCGTCATGCACCTGCACACAGAGGCGGCGCCGACAAAACATGACTGTTATAAGCCAGCGATGGCACACCGTGACATCAAATCAAGGAATATTATCTTAAAGGATAACAGGTTAGAAAATGTCTACTGAAAAAACAGGTTCTTCTCGTATGCTCGTAGCGTTCGAAGCGTTTGTTGTACACATAGAGCCACATTTTACAAAATAAGAGCTCATATTAAAAGGCACAATTAGAACTTTGACATTGATCTCGGTATGTCGAAAATACGCAGAATGAATAACATTAGTAATTATGATAGTGATAAAACAGTAACAGATATAACTGTATGTTCCGGCTATGTATTTTAGGACGGCATGTATTGCCGACTTCGGTCTGGCGATAATCTTCGAGCCGAGAACGAGCATTGGAGAGACCCACGGTCAGGTGGGAACTCGCCGGTAAGTTATTAGTAGTTCACACACACAAATGAAAAGTTAAACAACGTAGCCAAAGAGGTACTGTATAGCAGTTTGGATGAACTTGTAAAACATGGTTCATCTTGTTTATAAACATTGACCCGCTTATTTTTGGCTGCGACCACGGTTTTGACGATATAGCATTTATTGTAGGTATTTATGCATACAGACACGCCTTCTTGATGGCTCTCAGGCTCATCCAACTTGTCGATTTAGGTAGAGTTTAAGGAAACGTACAACCGGTCTGGTTGTTGTTGTTGTTGTTTGATATAAAATATTGACTTTAGGTTGAGTAGTTACACTTCATTCTGTGTGTGCTTCTAGTATTCGTTTGTGTTCGTTCTTGTTTGTAATTAATGCGCTCCCATTATAAGATACATGTCCCCGGAGGTACTTGAGGGGGCAATCTCGTTCGACCAGGAAGCGTTCCAGCGAATTGATATCTACGCGCTCTCTTTGACACTGTGGGAAATACTCACTAGAACTTCCGACTGTGACCCGTTCCCAGAGTATAGATTGCCCTTCGAAGATCAGGTTGGTAGACAACGGGATCTATAGACACCTAACATTGAAGCAAACGTTACAATATGGCGACACGCTTGTCTTACGCTCATTCACTTTATATTTTCACTCTTTTATATATTTTTTTTCTTTGTATAATATATGCTTTTACTAATACACATCTGAGCAACTTTTCGTGGTATGCAATATATGAACCTTTTTTTTTTTATAAAAATGATAGATCTACCGTTGAGCGAATTTTGTGTATCTAGAGAATAAGACAATTATCTAGTATAACCCATAAACGCGACTACGTCTTTTCATTACATCGTTGCGTCGAAGATCGTCTTAACGTTTATTGGTTCTGTGGTAAGACTATCATATACTATCGAGATTACATTGGTATGATCACTCTCACTGAACTTCTAGAAGAACAATCTGCATAATATTAACTAGATTAATGTTATAAAGATATTCTTCCGTACACTACCTTTTTCTGTGTTACTCTTTTATGTAAGAATATACTTAAATACAACCTCGTATAATTAAAAGATCAAGGCTTAGATCCTGCCAACGATAGACAAAACAGTGCACAATGTGTGTGTGTGTGTGTGTATTTCTCGTCCCTATATATGATTCGTTTTTCATTACATTTGTATTGTATTCTTACGATAGTTTTTTGGCTTTTTCATCGTTTGTTGAAACGAGCTCTCCAACAGTTTACGGTTCGTGGGAGACGCTTTGTTTGTTTGGCGAATGCTTTCGACCTAACGTATCTCAAACGTCTGGACATTATTACTAGGGAAGCGTTGAAGTGCAGGACCTTAACCTCGTAGCTATATAACCACTGGCTGCTAAGTGAAAGACTGAAGACGAACCGCAGGCGTGTCCGGAGATAATAACAGGGTCTTTAAGTACTAACATTGTTCTCAATTTTTCTCTGTTCTAAGTTTCGTAAATTTACGAGTGAACCTTCGAGTACGAGAAACTTCCATTATACGGATGAAAGCGCGTCAGTATTGTAGCTTAGCTAGCCTCATTAGACGAGGTAGAGTTGCGATTGTGCGATTGAATCGTGTGCCTTCTTCGATATACTATACATCACAAGTTTATACACACATTATGCACGATATATTTCAACTCACATTTGCTCATACGTACTATATTTGAAGGTGGGACCGCACCCGTCTCTCGAGGACATGCAGGACACCGTCGTCACACGAAAAGTTCGTCCACCGATTCGCGACTCGTGGCGTGAAGATAGCCGGTTGGCGTTGTTCGTTTCAACGCTGGAAGAGTGTTGGGACTCAGACGCTGACGCACGTTTAAACGCTTGCACCGTTCATGAAAGGTTCGAGTTTGAGCGTGTTTTTCGCTGTAATTGTAGGATCACGTGGACATAATCGTTCACCCGTTTTCTTCCGGAGGTGGCAACTGGCACAGAACGCGTTGATAATAAAAGCTGATCGAGTAAAAGTACCATATAGCAATCGTTTAAGCTGCAGTACATGGTCATCGATAATTCACTAATGTATACATATACACGTGTCAAAGATTAAGACACTTCTGCTGTCGACTATCATTTAAACATGTATGTGTTATTTTGTTTGTTCTTTTATGTCCAATCTTTTCCTATATCTTCTGCTAACGTTTATGAAGAATCCAACAACTCATGAGAGACGTCAACCAGAGTTGGGCGGCCGAGATCGCCGACGAGAAATCAGCGCTTCTCCCACAGAACGGAATGGTAAACGGCGGCGTTATTATCCAACAGCAAAATGGCGGAATTGTGATCAATGGCTTAGGCGGCCCACGGCAACACAGTCAATGCATTAACAGCCATAATAACCATGCCCAGTTGCAGCCACAACAACAGCAACAACAAACGCAACAAATACGCCACCAGCCACTTCAACAACTACAAAACCTTCAGCAACATCATCGGCAGTACCACCAGGTTAATGGCAACGTGGCTGTCTAAGAGGAGTTCTCTTAAACTGTCTGCTGCTCTAGCCAACAGAAGGTCAGCAATCGACACTATATAAATAAACAATAGAAATCATGTCTTTAACTCGTGATATTTCAGTCGCAGCTGGTAAACTGCCAGGTTCGGCCTTAGCATAAATCTGTGCTCTCGATGTCCCTGCTATGTGCGGCAAGAGATTGGCCAGTAAAATGGTTTTGGCAATGACTACAAAGGACACTTACGTGTGACAGCTTACTTCGGCGGGTGTCTGTCAGAGTCGATGGAGAAAACCGCAGAAGAGCCGCTGGAAAAGCTAAGTCCTGTCTGCGGCGCTTTTGCATAGTTGGCCAGACGAGATCAGTATGGAAAAGAAAAAAAACATTTCATATATATACGTTCCTGTATGTAAATATTTCGAGAGCTAATGATCCGTTGCTTATAAATATGACGGCTTTGAAGAAAGCCGCAGGAACTTTAGGTCACGGCGAACGGCAGGGCAATTTCGCACAATTTCATCATCTTCAGAGTGACTCACGATGATCTCGCGTGGTCTATTGCTTGCAAACTAGACGGAGTCCAATTCGCAAGTAGTATGTATGTATACATCTTCGTATACTATCGCCTCTTGAATGGCCTTATCCAACAAATCGGCAGCAGCGTCAACACATCCTTTGCATGCTATTATTCTACAAACACCCATAAGAATCATCTCTAACAAAAACAACATAACCACTTTTCCTGATCGATTAACTTGCATAAATCGTTTTTGTACCAATGATGCAATGAAATTGCGCCGATGACTACTACGTAAAACAACCACAATTGGGCCTTGATATCACCGACCTTGGTTCAAGCAAAACATTACGTCCTGCAACTGTAGCTCCTGCCGGCAGCAGGACTTCTGCAAAGGGCGAATCAACGTGAGTAAAGCGCATCGTCAAGTGAGAGGCAAGACGGCGAAGTTCATAAGTGAGTGTTAAAACTGCAACTTTTATCTGAAGTCATCTGTGGCATTAATAGTAGTGATAAACATATCGCTTAGTTAACGCTGACAGCGCGCTACAATAGAGCGATAATGAGATATAGTTACTTTATATTAAAAGTAAAATGTTGTAATGCCCTAGGGCGAAAGGAGTAACGGAAAAGTTCGATCGAAGTTGCTCGCACCGACATGCAGAGTAGTGAGAAATTAATACTTCCCTCTATTTTAGACTTACACAGACCGATTGGAATAATACTACGTTTATAATAATAACAGTACTTGTTTCACATGTTACATACATTTTTGGTGGTAAAGTATATACGTATATATATGGGTACGGCACCTAAATTGAAACTGTTTCTAAGGCTATCTCTAAATAAAAACAGGTATTTCAATTCAATTTTTTTGCACACGCCAGAAGTGTTATTCCTGTTTACTCAATACAACCCTGGTTCACCGTGATTATACCTTCGATTCGAGACCTAAGCAGCTCATTTTCAAAGTCATTCTTCTCGATATGCGGGTAGCTTATTCGTAGTACCCGCGCTATATTGCTAGGCGTACATCCGCCAAAGTGTTGCCTCCATAGGCTGCACAATTAAAATTCAAGCGGAGTTAAATTTTGGGCTGCTAACAGGCCGGAACTTCCAAAAATGCGAGGGCTAAAAACAGCCACAAATCTGCAAGGGGCAAAAAACAGTAACTGCTGAAGCTTAATACAGACGACCCATCTAGTTGGCATTCTCCTTTCTAAAACGGCTGTTAATTTCTGAATTCTAATCCTAATTTTTCTAATCTAATTTTTGAATAAGTTTTCGGCTGTTAAAATCTAAAACCTAATGAAGATTTATGATTTGTCTCATGGAAATCTTCCTTATTGGAATTGTTTAAAAATTGCATAAAAACTGCTATTAACACGGATCGCCGGTTTAGGACAAAAAATGTAAAGTTTCATTTTTACCTTCTCAGGATTAATATTAGACTATAATAGATTGATAAATAAGAACGTCTAACGTGAACAGATTTTTTAGTGGCTAATTTTCGCCCAAATCGTGAAAACGGCGCACTGTGTTCCGCCATTGTCATTTTGTCCTGGAAAGAACAGGTTTTCTCCTAAAATTAAGGACGGCCTATGAACTCGTGCTCGTTATAAGAGATGCCCGAGCAAAGTCTATCCCAATTTAGTTGCCGTATATATACGCGGACGAGTATAACAGCAACGTTAGAGCTCTAAAACCCATTTACCAACATCCACCCTACAATGTTTAGAGGTTAATCGGCGCCGATTAACTGGACCATAGCCAAACATGAGGTGTTTTTTTTTTCCATAGCAAACAAACAGCTTAAGCACTATATAAAATTAGATTTTGTTTATGTAATTCGTCAACGTTCTCCTACATGTGTTACTCTGGCAATTGCTCCCTCAAAACAGACATGCCCAATGTACTAATAAAATATTAGCAAATCTAACCATAATATTGTGCCTTCAATGGTTATTGTATTCCGGTTGAATTTTAGTAGTCATCGATTCGTGACCAGGTCCTGTGACAACGGTACGATTTGTGACGGGATCGACGAATTTCAATTGTACAATGTCAATATATATAGATAGATAAAAGACCATAGTGGATGACACGCGGATGGGAGAAGGGCGCAATTTGGGAGCGCGACAGGACGACAGAACCTGGAATAATGTGATCATTAATGAGGCTACAAGCTAGGCTCTAATCGACGGCCGTTTCGGTGAGTCGCAAAAATCATTACGGTAGTAACAGACGGAATGAACGGATGCGATCGAAATGACGTTTGACTAGTCGACGACCTCAGTCTCTGTCTACGACGACAGAACTCGTAAGCCACTTGAACTGGTGGTATAGCAAACCCATGCTAGACGTTCATGAGTAGTTTATGGTGATGCTATTTCGCATCGTCTCGTTGCGATTGTCGAGCGTTTGGCGGCATTTTTCAAAAATGGGCAACTCTAAAGGAAACTGCTGTGCCAACGTTTGCATATGTCGCGCTCCCATGTCTGACACTCGCGCAGACATGGTCTCCCGTCACTAGGAGCAAGCCACCATAATGAGATAAATATATTTTTTTAAATTTTCTATTACTGATTTTGATTTACTGAACGAGCAGCGAGTGACATCAAGCCCTTGACATGCTCTGGTTCGGCCCAAAGATTATTCGTTTACGAAATACCATCCGAAATGATACCCCTGGGGGGTGGAAACAATGAAAATATTAGCGTAAAAGGACTTCGCTCGATTCTCCAGATTTTCGCATGTCTAGTGCTTGATCGTAACTATTCCAATTGTATGAATGTTAAGATGTCTGTCGTGTACATGCTGCTGTGAGAAGAGGCCTGCAAACGTTAGGCTTTATCAGTTACATTCGTGAATTAGTTAATCGGTAAAAAAAAAGTTCGACACACAGCGAAAAATAAGGGACTGCAATTGAAGACCGTGTGGCGATGCTCGCTAACTGTTAAATAGACCATAACGTTTCGTTACAGAAAGGCAACCTTGAATTCGGAACCTCACAAAATCGATTTTCAGCGCCATTATTTTGTAAGGTTTTCGTTGGATCTGACCCGCTGGGCTTTTAAACATTCAGTTATCTAATAGGATTTTTAATCAGCTTGCGTCTCGTTATTAAACTAAGTTAGATCGACGAACCAGCGGAATGTAAATTGAGTGATACATTTGACTACGGTGAATACCATTATATGCTTCTACACATCGAAAATCACTATGAGTGGTGAGCGACATGATTAATAGGAATTCTTTGGTCTAGGCAGAATAACTTCGAAGTCCAGATCGCATCAAAACTTCGCGACGATCAGCAGCGTTATCCGTTAACTCTCTTATGTCTTACCTTTGTGCATCGTCTCTGCTAAAACGTGGCTCGAGCCGATCCCGGCAACTGAAGGCTCTAGAAAAAAACAAACCTGCCACCATCTGACCCAACGACGATCGATATCGTCGATTTAGAGCGCGACCGTGTCCATCTAACCGCCAGCCATTATTGGAAAGTCTGTCCTTATTTCTGAACATGCGTGAATAAGCGTGAGTACGTCTTTTGCCTAGAGCGCCGATTCTCTTAAAAGAACAAGCGCGCCCACGTCCAGGAGGGCGTCGGCGTCTCGAGTGCTTTCGCCTGTTGTTCACGATTATTTTGTTCGAACAAATGATACCTTTACGCGCTCTTAAGTTGTAATAATAACAAAGAGTATAACATAATGTACATTTCGTTGTTGTGTTATATATTCATTACCATGACAAGTTTTGCTTGGCGGGTTCTTTGGTAAAATGCAAAATTATATAGGCCGACCAATAATTATATGTGTAATGTATATATTTGTAAAAAAATATATGAGAAACACCTATATACGTAACAGTTATGATAGTGATGATAATGATGAGGCCAAATATACTTGAGGATAATATAATAAGTGAAAGAACATATATATGGCTGCGGAGTTTTATTGTGCACACCTTCCAATCGAGGCAGGAAATGCATGTTCAATACGTCTGAGTGTACGGGCTCGCGTGTGCCTGTATGCTGGAGGACCTAATTTTTAAAGCCTTTTCATTGGCTCGTTTGTCATCGCACATGCGGTTCATCGCTGGCGGCAAAGTCTTCAACAAATACAGCCTGATACTCTGGGGCGTGGAACAAACCAGACAAAGAAAAGAAATTGATATAGACTTTAAATAAAAAGGCATTAAGGTAGGTATTTCCAATCGATAGATTTACTAATATCATGAAACGTGTGCATAATGTTGCGACTGCGGGCAACAGGTGTTAGAACGAAGTTGTAAAGCGTTAACACTGTCTATGGCCAGCTAAAGGGTTTTGTCTGGCTGAAACCTTCATGGTAACTCTTATGTGAAGGTCGCCGACGTAATGGGTGCTAGTGATGTTTCGGTCACTCAGTGCTGCTGCGCAACAATTAAACTGAAGCAAAATGACAACTGGCAAAAAAAGTTAGTCATCACATGTAACTCCGCTCGGATGTCGGAAAATCAGCTGTAATCGATGTACTGATCCAAAGCAAAAAATGTGTGCGGCTTTAAGTGGGAAAACGTGGAGCAGACCATCTAAACTTCAGTTTGGAAATTCGAAGAGACTTCAGACCTGGTTAAGGATGCTGTAGTCGAGATTAAACCTAACATCGAACCTAGCCATAAGGTCTGTGAGGTTCAAACTAGTGTACCATATTTCTAGCATTTGCAGACGTTTGCATCACAAGTTAGAGAAGTAAATGTTTGCCAGTCAAACACAGAAGGTCTACAACTTTAGCGGACATCGTCAATGCTAGCTGATGTAACTACTGATTTGAGCCTATCAATCGTCTTAGTCTGAAACCGCGGTCATCCATGCCAATAATCATAAAATGACTGTCAGATACCACGCGAAAACTATGCCCACAAATTTAAACAAACAAGACAAAGATACTTTGACGGATATCTAGATAAGTATGTATAATTAAATATATTTACGTTACTTTGTATGTACATATATATGCAGGGGAAAAGAAGAATGATTTCAATATGGATATATAGATACATACGTACACACACACACACCCACACGTAACATCATATGGATCTCATACGTGCGTCGCATAGCTCACAAAAATATATATTTTCTGGCCTTATATTGTAATTATAGAAATTATAATAATAATAATAATAATAATAATAGTCCTATTACGAAATTCTAGCAAAGAAGCATCCTCGTTCAACACAATGGTTCAGGGTTTATTTCTTTTTTCTTACGATAACAAAACGTTGCCCTATACATGGAACATAAATATTCCAGTAATTGCTGCCCAGGTGGGCTATTGTGGTAGAGTAGGCAAGTGTCCGTTCGTGTTTTGAAAATCACGTAATTTGCTTACAAAAAAAAAAAATGGAAAAAAAGAGTTAAAAAAGTTACTAAACTTGTGCTTAGTGACCCCCCTGGGGTGATTGACCTGGCAGCGTACAATACGTTTAGCACAATAGAAATTCAATATGAGATTAATATAGACATACATAGCCGGTGGACGCTTGTGTTCCGCTTTTTATAAGGCAGTTGATTAAGGAAACAAAAGGTGAGTGAGCGTCACGCTGGGAGAGAACATTTGAGAGAACAATCAAACGCTGATGTCGTTGTATTGAATGTCGATTAGATATACACTTAGATGCCCATACGAATCCAGGCAAACCCTTCCATGGACATATATATGTATATGGGCGCTTAGGTTATGAAATTGCTTTCTGTACCAATATCGTTACTTTATCATTGATTCTGGACCTGACATGGAGCCTTTCTCGCTGCAATCTATTACGAAATACGTTTATCTGAGCGAGCAAATATTTTTTTATCTTTTCTTCCTTTTCCCTCACTCAACAAAGTAGGTGCGTTCTATTTGTATGCAGGACAATTATTGGTCTGTTTGGGCGTGCAGCGCGAAATTCAACGTCGCTGACGCGCTCACCATGTCTACGTACGTTTTTCTAACGAACTATCCTTCCTAACGAACGCTATCACTTCACATAGTACTATTATATGCTCAATAGGCCGTTGTTTCATCTATTGGCGACGCCTCGCGGCTGTACACAAGACGAAAAAACATATGACGGAAAGACTTTGCAGGTCCGCGCTTCGCTGTTTCATTTTTCAATTGAGAACACTATTTATACCTACACGTATATATATATATATATATATATATATAAATAATTTTTTAGCATTCATATTCAATGCTTAGTGGGTTGGGGGGAAAATAAGCTCCACCAGAAGGGGCCCTGCCGAATACTGCGGCGATACCTATATTGTACCATATACATATAGTGTAATATACATATACATAAATATACCTATGATATATACGGTTCTATAGTATGTATGGATAAACAATGCCTACAGTGGATTGATATATCTGGATACTGAGGTTCGATTACCCCTACAACTAGAGAAAAAAAAAAACACTGTTCGTCTATCTACTAAAAACGATTTGGATGTTTGAGGGGTGGGAGGGGACTTTATTGCGACAATAAATATATATTGCCAAAAAAACTGTTAGATACGAATTGGTTAGTGTTATAATAGGGCTAACGATAATATTAAAAATAATTGTTATCAGTAATGATACAACAGTAAAATCTATTGTTGATGACAACAACAACAGCAACAACAACGGAGTGCAAATAACATGAATCGACACACAGAAGAACAAACGGGAAACGATTTTAGCGGTAGAGTAAGTTAATGAACACGTGTTATTGGTTCTAAAGTAGTGGCTAAAAGTGATTTTTCAAAGGGGTTGATTTGAATGAGTGAGACGAAGGCTTGCCTCGAAGGGTGCGAGGATTAGAGCCTCACACGTGCTTGAACAGATCCTTGTAATAACAATGCTATTATTGTGAATAAATATTTTTGATTGGTTATATGAATGTATAAAAAAATAAATCGTGTGCTTATTTCCGTCTGCTTTACTCTAGCTCTAACGTTTCTTAATAGGCCGGAATAGTGAAAGCGACAATTTCTATGGTAAACGTTTTTCATTCTCTGCACGTTTTAGGGATACTACTATCCCTAAAAAGTGGCCGAGAAAAAGGGTTTCTGTTCTGTTTTTCGTTTCCAAATTCAAATGGATTCAACGTGATACGTCGGCCCTAACTGTTCAAAAGCTATGGTCCTTTCACAACAGTCCTTCGCATGTTTCCGAAATCTCGTACGAATGGAAAGCTAACTCATAACTAAGTTACATACGACTCCATCCTTCCAGCCAGAAACGTAGGCCATAGCGCTAGAAATGTGATTAAAAAATTAACATAGATAGACTTCAAGGGGGCCAGTGACCTTTTTCACTACGTTATTTTACGCCTTCGTCATATATATCTACGTGCAGCTTATGTAGGTACATCAGTCTCGATTTGTGCATATATGCACACAACGACCTCACACAAATTTGCCTATTGCAGGATTCGATCGATGGCATGCTATAACAACGAACCAATTAACAATTATATTCATGATAATAAAGCTGAGTTTACAAAGGGACACCCATTGCTGAATTCCCCTGACCGATGCTGAGAGGCAAAAGCCAGAGGTACGAGCAATCTTAAATCTACTGTATTGGCAATTTCGCTATTTTCATCAGAAAAAACCACACTGTCTTGTACATATGATAGCAAACGAGTGCGCCATAAATAGGCCACTCGCATTTGGCCGCTTTCTTTGTAGACTACATCGACAGATGTTTGTGGATCCATTCTCAGAATCGTATCCGATCCAATGGAATACAATTTGGTCATTTTTTTTATTTATTTTTTCTTTTTTGTTACACTTAAAATAGTTCTATACAATTGTATGCATTCCGAAACAGTAGACAGATACGTAAAATGACAAACAGAGCGTGTCTAGGTAGAACGATAAAGAAGAAAACGAACTCGACAATAGAAGCAAAATGAAATAACATATTCCCTAATACGTCCAAACACAGTTACGTTAATTAGAACCTTTAATAAATATCCAAAGTATTAGAAAATAATAACAAGTTCGATGGATAGTGATGCCGATTCACGGGAAACAATGCATTTATTTGATAGGACATCTTATGTTACTCAATCGTATATCACAGATGTTCCTGATAAATCGATTACCATTGTCCTACTGCTATTTCGCTCGTTCTTCCTGTAAACGATTGGTGCATCCTAGGACTGCTCTGCTTGTATCGGTAATAATTTCATATCTCTTACTCAATATTCATACACATCGTGTATATACATACGCACACGAGCATTGCAGTCGCATAAGAGAAGGTACTGTTTTTTTATGTGTATATGGGGCCGCGGTCGGCTAAGCGATCGTATTTTGTTCATATGTTCGGTGGGGTGCCGTTTCATTGAGACTACATCTTCAACCCCTATTATTAGCTAAACATATCTTTTCCAGCTGTGAAGCTGACCTGCGTCATTGAGGGTAGCAATGCAAAACTATTATATTAGTCTGATTTCTGACTCATACTAAGCGACATACCGATATGCGAAGGGGTATTTGTACCGAGAACCTCCCCATTGAAGGAGGACGATTAAGTGACGTTTGTTCCCGGTTCAATTTCACTTTGCGGTAATTTCAGATAAATCGTTGCTGGAGGACACGACGTACCGAAGAACAGAAGCTAAAAACACGCTTATGATATAGATGGTGAACTTCAGATGAGCAAACGTACTCAAGCGTGTTTACTTTTCACTCTCGTAGAATACGTACCGAATATGTAGCATTGTAACAATAGATATGAACCTATCTAAAATGAATGGAAAAGAAAGCTGGGCGCTAAACTATGCCAGAAGCGTTCACGTTGTTCAGGGCGTTTTTCCATTGGAGATTCTCATCTTGTCGAGTGGGCAAATTTCCGTTTAGCATTTACCACAACATAAACATGAGTTTGCCTTACTGCGCCGAATACTGAACAGCGTTTCGCGATGTAGGGTCCATCAATTTTTTTTTTTTTTATATAGTAATTTTTGTGTGTAGAACGTACACTTATTCGTATGTGCTGTAGAGCCTTGTTAAGCATGGCTCATGTGTATAATTCTGTCGCTGTGTGCCGTTATTCTGCATTGTAGAAGACGCTTCTTGGCTGCAACCCTTTCAAACGTGGCTCAATAATACATGGCGCATCGAAATTTGCTAATGCGTTTACACTGACGACATGAATCCTTCAGCTTTTCCGCTGTTTCATTATATATATTATTCCATTCAAGTATGTTTCCAAGCGGTACCCCAGCTGCTTCTCTATTCCACAGCAGTATATTTTTTTGTCCTAGATATTATGAATATTATTATTGCTATATAACTATTGTTAGGATGTTGCACTTTAAATAAGCACAGCTTTGTATATTGTCGCCAGTGTCCTGCACACTGGCTTTCCCTCATTATAGATGGCTTGGGCAGAGATACACGTACGCTTAAACCTATAATATAGTTTGAGAACGTCTATTATATGTATGAATGTAACAGATTTTTTTACAGGACGCCTACTCTCCGTTATGACATATAATATTTTTACAACATGCCATACATCCGGGGCTATGATATTTTTGTTGTTTGTATGAAAAACATAATACTATTATCCGACTATACCTGTGTTACGTAGAACTTTTGCACGTCGTTATATAATCAGCATTAATTTCAACAGGGTTCCACAAATTCAACAGGGTCCAATCGAACGCGTCGTGCATCCAGCTGACAGAAATCACACTGTCCATTTAAATACTATTTTCGGTTGTACGAAGTCAATTGAACATTAAATAAAACATCCATACACGCCGAATTGTGCTATCCATGCACTCACCGTTCATACAGAAATTTTTGAGGCGCAAACCTCAGATCGACGGCACTGCGACGTCCGCCCTCTGCATTGAGCTCAGATCTCTAAACGAGTTCTGGCCTTGGCTCAAACAAAAACTACATTAAGACATACATACATCATTTACGAGGCTCCTTTTCCCCTCATAGCGCCTAGATAAAACAGCATTAACGGTGACCCAGATAGATAGCTCTTTAGTATTAGCCATTATGGTGGCTTCTACCAAACTGGCTGCAATCTCTGGTGCATTCGGTTGCTAGACTGACTCATAAGAAAAATCATCTTTCAGCTAAAAATGACCTACTGTTATCTCCTGATTTTGATCGTTGACGTGCCCTGTAGTTGCTAATTTTCTAGTAGTCCTATTGGAGTGTCAAAATAAGCATGATTCTCTAAGAACTTAAATACGGCCAATGAAATTGCGTGTTTGCTACAAGCAGTTTAGCTAAGCGTAAAGATAGTGACCAACGCTCTGCTATTCTATATTGCATCCCTCTTTGACTAGAGCTAATTTTCCGAAATGAACTGGTAAGTAAATTTCTTTAGAGTCTCAATTGTAATAGCGCACCCTCAATTCAGTCGACGTAATAGGACAAAGGTGTCACTGCTTAAAGGTCATGGAAATCTAATCCATATACCCCATCAATACCCCATAGATAACCGATTTTTCAGATCAAAGAATATCCAAGAAATCATTTTAACAATTCGATACTACATATTTTCGACTGGTGTCGGAATATCTCAGTGTCATCGATCTTTTGATCGCACGTACACTAGAAGGTGGCCTTACATCCAAAGGTCAATTTGGTTGATTGATAAATATACCACCATAGTATTTTATATGTCGAATTCCCCATCTGTTTTTCTATGTATGCTCAATATCGATCGATATGGATCTATAATCCTGTTTTATAGTTTTGCTCTACTATGCCGACTAGTTATTACGGCCCGCTATTGTTACTCGCTAATGTTTAATGTTTATGATTAGCGTTTAACGTGAATGATTCGTCTCGTTCGTTTTATTAAAAAGCGAGCGACTCAAGCTGGGGGCAGTCGATTACGGCAGCCCCGATACTACTGCGACGTAATTGCATGGCTCCCAGTTGCGTCCAGCTGTTTTCGCGAGCGTCGTACATTTCCACTGAGTTCAAACTCGAAGTGCCGTCATTTCCGCCGACAGCAAATAGTACCCCGTCAGCCTGAACTACTTCGTGAGTTGTTCTGAAATTGGATTCAATTCACAATCCATGAATTGGCCTATTAAGTTGACCTTTCGGATGACCAAATTGTAAACAAGTTTATTCATGGCTAAATCGGTTCGCTGAGGTAAATTATATGTATTTTTTTTAATGAGAGGAGAATCGAGCAATAAGGTATAATAGTAAGTTCAAGTACGAATACGGTCAGTTCCCGGCGATCTTTTTTTAGGGGGGATTCTCCCATTGTTTGGAAATCATATTCGACCAGATGAACAAACCTGCGGCAATGCATATTCGCTACGTTGGTCCAGGCGTTTGCCACGATGTCAAATTTTTCACAACTATTCATACAGAGCGATGCATCATTTCCTCCAACAGCGTAAAGTGCCCTACACCAAACAACAGATTTTATTTTGTTTGTTGTTATTATTATGGCCCGTGAGTGAATTATTTGCTCGCTGCTATAAACAACACAGATGCACTTACGACATAGTAACAAATTAGCTAAAATTTCTACATGCTTATTTAAATATACTCGTAAATAGCAAAGGTGCCCCTTTGTCTAATGTAAAGAGGCACAGTTACTCTCTAGAATTTAGAAAAATTTTCATTACCTCTCCCGCATATGTATTTCGATATGGCAATTTGTACTACTCTCCACATGCTCTTCTTAATTAACGAAATCTTACTGCTATTATTATTATATCTTTGCTAAAAAGTACATCATTGTTATATACGTGCCAATGTCAAATTTATCGGCTCAAGAGTTCGACAGAAGCGTAATCCCATCGCGCGTTTTGGCTTCTCAGCCACAAAGATCGTCTTAAAAACTGAACGAAAATATTTCTGGTTTAATGTCCGGAACCGGAAATTAAGGGAGCGACTAACTCTCCACTCCAGACCAGCATGACACATATATATATATATATATATATGAGACCTACTCTCTATGTCAAGCATACGTACCCCTCACATGTATCATCACTAACCCATTGCAAAGGTTTTCCTGTTTCCTATGACAATACCGGTGTGATGTTTGTTTCTATCGATATTTTCGTGCTTTGTTTTGCTAGGGGAAACAAAAGAAGCCGGAAAAAGGGGGCAAGCCAACGCCATAGCTAGTAGCATTATGTGTGAAGAAATGCTCTATGATAAATGCATGAGTATGGTACCTGCAGTGCTTATCCGTAGAATGTCCTTTGGAAAAAATAGCCCAGGAAGGGCAACTTCGTCGTTCATTTTTTGATAATACCAACCTGTCGAGACTAGCCGCTCCGCATGAAGTTCGCCGAGAACTCATCGCTGGCATAAGGCGCCAACGGCCCTCCCTCGGATCCAGTCTTTCGACAGAGGATTGGTAGTTTGCGCCGTCGTGTCCACCAACCGCGTATAGGCAGCCGTCTGCGTTAGTTCAAGCGTGGATTTAACTTGTTGTTATGATTAGTTACTTTCTCTTTAATATCAGGGGTCCAACGAATAACCAAATGGATACAAAAACTTTAGATGTCGTCAAAAGTTGAAAAAAAGTTCCTGTATAACTTCGATCCAAGAAATACTCCGAAAAACCAAAAAAGAAAGTTTTGGTATTTTCTTAGAAAGTATGATATTGAAATATGTTTGCTAGTTTTTTTTTTTCTTTCCGGAATTTCCTTTATCGTTTCATTATACGTTCCCACAAATAGCAGTGGCTGTTTGTATATGCGGAGCAAAGAAACGAGAGCGAATCACTTCGGGCAACAATCACGTTACCTAAGACGGTGAGGCGGCAGTAACGGCGTCGGCTATCCATTCCAACGAGAGATGACCACGTGCCAACAAGTGGGTCAAATTGTTCAACAGAACTGAGACAGGAGCATCCGTCATAGCCACCAGCTATGTACAACAGACCGTTGAGAGCTGCTACACCCAGGCATGAGCGTCGCGTTCCGAGAGGGCTGATTAGAGACCATGCGTTTGTTTGCGGGTTGTATACCTAGCCACGGAGAAAAACGAGCCTAAGTAACTCAGGCAAAATAGGAGCATATTTCCAGTAATTACTGCTTACATCATAGAAAAATACTTCATAGAAAAACCTTCAATTGAAAGACGGCTATACTACAGCGAAAGGTGCTTCCTTTGTCTGGCAATGCGCACAAAAGCGTTCGGACTCTATTATGAACTACCTACTATGAATTGCCTAGAGAAATACCTAATTGGGGTGAAGTGTAGTATCTAAAACGCCAAGAAATGCGTTATTTTTTACAATTTGCTCTCAACACATCATGTCAACAGTTTCTAGAAGTAGGTCTAAGCGACTATCTCAAAAGGGCTCTATTGGTATACCATGCTGGGATAAAAACGACAGCCATATGAACGTACCTCAGCTGAAGACAAATCCTTGATGCCGTCAAAGCCACCAATGGCGTATAAGAGACGATTGAGTGAGGCGACACCCGCTCGGGATCGTCGATGCATCGTCGGAGCAAAATGTAACCATCTTTATATTACGAAAAACAGTTTATAAAAAAATCATCTGTATATGAATCTATAGCTGAATGTTCCATTGCTATGTGGACAATTGGTAATGTCATACTAGAGAAACATAAAAGACCCATCCTAGTTAGATGCAATATATTTAGTTCAGCCTCACCGGTCTGTTCGAGGATTATAATATTCACAATCGCTGTGTATAGCAAAGAGTGAACCTCCTCCGACTGCAAACAGATAAGGCCGGAGACCTTCCGGCCGTCGTAAAGTTGTTCTGATCGATGTCATGGACGATCGTTTCTCAGGCACAAGGTGATACTTCATTGCTTCCATGATGAGGTCCTTACTGGCTTCACTGTGCTGGACCTGACAGAATGACACAACGAGATTTTATTAAAGTTATCGTTCCGCGTGTTCATATGGACGGGCCGGATTCAAAGAAGATTACTGATGTACTTTTAGTGCGCAACAAAGAAATGGCAAACGGATAAACACTCACCAAAGGCTCTTCAGAGACATCAGATAGAAGAAAATGCCTGTCTACAAGCGGCAGACGACAATGTCTCAGTAAACGCTCCAAATGTTTTTCGCGACCAGGTTCGTGTTTAACCCATCTGTCGACAAATTCATTTAGATTTTACATTTAGTTAAGGGCTATGGGATCAGATGCATTCATATTATTTATCACGGCAAGAATTTACGTTACCAATTCAGAGGAGCCGAATGTGCCAATACACTCATAAAAGATAAAGTTGACATTCTGTATGAAGCTAAAAGCTAAATGTGGCCATCATTTGGTACACGTTATATTCTCTAGAAGGGCAGAAGCACAGGTACTCTCGGAAATCAAATCTAGGCTAAGAAGGAACCACACCCGTTCAAAGTGCCCTGGACCAGCGTCGTATAATACCATGGTTACTTCATACCTCATAATAGCCTTGTATACACATTCTTCAGCCGGGACATTAAGTTCGCTGCTCGAAACGAGGTCTTCGACGTGCTGAATATCAAGCAATAGGAACTCTTCAGTCAAAGAAACGTTATGGAAGTTGTGCAACGCAAACCGATGCGACTGTCCCTGGGAAGGAAATGCGGGTTGGGATTTGCATCTAATACACTCAGACGTTTTTATTTAGCTAACCATCCGCTCTCTTTTATCATCTACATATGAAAAATGTTTGCTTTGTTGGAAAATGTTCAAATACAAACATCGAGTTCTATAAAGCTCACCTTTTGATACCTAGCAATCTATAGTACATAAAAAGCATAGAATGCAGTCACAGACGGAAAAGGCATAATATCAGAATCATGGCCCCGCGCATCTCTGCCGAGCGTGCCATCATATTGCGTTACGATTTGTACGACCACTACTATATAATATCCATCCAGTATCAAACATGGCAACTTACGCTAGTACGGGGCAGAAGGGCACCCAAGCGATTTGGAAATGTCTCTGTGAAACGTTTCTGCCTGAAAATATATAGTCAGACTAAAGGCTGGATGTTTCCAGTTCGGTGGTGTGTCGTTCCGGCTCACCTGCAGATCGACGCAACAGTTCGCATCGGCAAACGATCTGATACCAAGACAGTTGGACGGCTCGAGTTGGGATAACAGAAACTTGCAGCACGCCTCACGTACGGTCTCAATCTGAATCACAGGTGACGAAGCGTGCAATGCGGTATGATCGTGCAATGTAATTAAAAGGCCAAAAATGTTTACATCATACAAAAAACTACTCGCTGTAAATGATACGATGTCTTTTATGCTGTCCAGTTGTAGATAAGATAAACGTGTTGCACACACTGGCCGTCTGTTGGTTGATACCTGAAGAAAATTCGAGGCAGGTAGTAGATGCTGGACGTTACTTTGATTGATGATAATTTCGCCGGTATAGCAGAAATCAACGATTAGCTTTAAGGCGAGTGCGTCCACGCTGTGGAGAGTCACCTCCGACCTTAAACGATACGTTTTACATACGCCGCTACGTTAACGACAAGTGGTCTAATAAGGGCCTTAAAAAGCGACAGGCTTTGTATAGTTTGCTCATAAGTGAAGTGTTCCTTCATCAGTTGGTAAACTCTATTTAATGTTTCTATTAAATTAACATTTCATTGGTAGATTCTTAAGAGTTAGTCGTATATTTAATTGATGCAATAATAATCATGTCAAAGTTCTTGTCGCTACTTACCGATTACGTTCGGCGAGTTCTCCATTGAACATCGCAAAAAAATACGCGGAAGAGGCAGCGAGCACGAGACGATGGGCAGGCAACTGCTGTGTGCCGAAGGGCGAATCCGTCTTTAAAACGACGTCACAGAGCTGACCGCTGTAACGCATTGCGTTCATCGCCTGGGGGCGGAACCGACAGTAGAAGCAATCGAGCGCGAATAAAGTACAAAAAAAGGAGCAATTTTTAGAGGGGTGCGTGATCCTAACCCGCATTATCAATGGTACATAGTGCGATTCGATCGGCAGCGAGACGTGTCTAATATTTAACATATCATTCTCAAAAGGATTTACAAATATTAGCGAAGCAGTGAGTAGAACCCGTTAAAAGCGCGAGAGTCATACTTTACCTAGTGAGGTATTACCTTGAAGCATACGGCGAGATGATCCGAATCAAGTTGCTGAGTTAAATTTGACGTTTTAAAGTCGCTGATGGCAGACTCGCTAGGGCTCATCGATGCTGCGTCGTTGTATAGTTCCAGATTGCCTGAGTATCTATTTTCGCGTATAACAGAGATTATGCATAGCCAAAAAGGCATAGGGCAATGTCGAAATAGTTAGCCACCTGTTGATAATAATTATGCCGCTGTGACAAAAATCATTTACTAGATTAAGGCTAATTTGGCAGGCATGCACAGGCCGGCTTACCTTTTATTGATGGCGTCATTGCTGTTGAGACGTTGGTTAACAGATCCAGATGAGCCGAAGTTCGTAAGTGAAGTGGAAGATGAAGATTTGCTGGACGAGCTTGTTGAAGGCCCGCTTGAGTGACCAGATATGGTTGAACAACTTGGAGTCGCCAATGATGGGGATCTTAACTGACTAACATGGGTGACGGCATTAGAATTGATGGTTATGACTGACCCCGTTCGGTTCGAGTTCGTGATAGAGGTTATGGTCGCTGCAGCTGGACTTGTTGACGAAGATGCCCCATTGAGTGCCCCCTGCGGTGATGAGGGCGTCAAGATTGACGCTATTGAAATCATGATTCTCCCGGAACGGCAGTTTGAGCTGGGCAAGCTGAACGACACTGGACATCAACGAAGAGGCAGAATGATACAATAGTTGAGTAACTTTGTTGTCATCTAACATGTTATGTAGCCCAAAGGAGCACAAATTGAATCTACTGACGTTTAAAAATTTTCGCACTCAGGCGACATACGGGTCAAACCTATTTGACATATAGCAACTTTCCAGCGTCGAAGTACTGCTCCCGTTCTCTTATGGATGGTATATTAGAGTACCAGCGATTTGTTTCACTTCTGAACTTTCTGATCACTGTTTACTTGGCTAAAGATATTTCCAAATGTAAAAGATACTGTTCAGACAAAGTAACTGCAGCCTTGAACTCGACCCGGGCTAATCAATCACATGGGAGTCCGACAGGGATTCTGGTACCCAACGTACAGGACTATACGGACTGTATTTTGAATTAGTGCTAGCAAAAACTCATATTAGCAAGTCAACATGCCCAAACACTACATAATTGATCCTCACAAACCCACGTAGAGTTTAATTGATTTATTTAAGCATATAAGAACCTTGATGGATAAGCATAGGCAACGATCGATATCGAAGAAAAATCGATTGATTGACGAACAGTTTTTTAATTATCCGACACTCCAGTTCAACGATTCAACTGTAGTTACCAGGTGGAATCTGTATTACTTGGCCGATAGGTATGCATGGATGGCTTGAGAAAAGCAGATGGTTGAGCCACTGACCTAGCAACATTGAGTTATATATCTAAAATATTATATAAATCTAATTTAGTTATGAATGCTAACATGTTACGATCCCTTATTGCTCTTCAGCTCACTAACCAATGCTTTGTTGGACAACAAAGTTACTGAAGGGTTCTTTTTCGTTATACTCTTGGATCTGTATCGTTTTACTCATACATTTATAATTTATCTGAATATTCATATTGGACGTAGCTAGGTACTGGAGCGTCGCGCGCTATGCTTTAGCGGCACACCTGTACAACCTATAAGGTTGGGTAAATTGACTTTTTTATTGCTAAATTGAAACTATCATGAATATAGAACGAGTCAGGTAACGGTCTGCCTTATTGCTGCCCATAATTGTTGCCAGCCAGGTGGAAACACAGCACTGGAGTAAATGTTCAAAAACAGAGCGCCGAGGTGTTCGTCGTTGGAGCTCTCCAACCATCACCAACTTCAGTAAGTGGGACAGATACTCTTTACTCCACCCGCAACCGCATGACGTGTCGAGGTCAGTGGCCGGCTCTGGCAAGATAGTGACACACCAAAGCAAAAAGGACATCACGCAGAAATTTTCATTGATGACTATCGACAGGCAAAGCAATCGCAGGATGGCAGTGGATAGCCGTTATCTTATCAGCAACGTGCGTGCCACTTTGTTTTTTTAGCAGAAAATAAACTCAAGATTTCATGAAAGGCTACTAAATAGGAATAAAATACCATAAACTATTAAAAAATACCTGAACAGCTACATAGAGACAACGAAGTACCGTGTGAATTATCTATAATATTGTATCACTAGATCGCTTTTATAGCGTAAAACTAAAAAAAAATAGTTCATTTTCTTCATATTAACTAGAAAAATATGATCCTCACATAGATAATAACAAATAGTGAGGTACTGATATCGAGTAAGAGGCAATACACTTCCCAGTGTATTCATTGAAACGTCTAAATTACGCTTGGCCTGAATTAGTTTTTTTGCAGTTAGCTGACGTTTACTAGGTCCGTAATTATTAACATTTTTTAAAATCACCCCTAGGAAAATGCATAACTTATGTCATTGAGCGAGACTATTTTTGCTACGTATGAAATGCAAACACGCTGCAAGCCTGCTTGTCTGCTACGACGCTCATATTATGGCCACGGGTTTAAGCCAGATTCACGTTTTTCGGTTAGTATTCTGTAGTAGTATCCTAGCATCGTCTAGGTTTCTGTAATTTTTTGTTGAAATATTATTGAAGTAACCGGATCAAATATGGATGTACGACAGCTAACTAATTTCCTGAAATATCTGGGAGATGCCATATATTATGTATTGCCTAATAGAATTCCGTAGCGTATCACATATTCGCTAGAGGATAGCAGCTTTAACTTTGTGAATCCAGTATCTATTTGAACTTACAGGATGAATGATGATGAAAATAACCTGGTAGGCCCTATCTGACTTCGATCGAAACGTCCTGAAGTTCAAAGCAAAAAAATTGCACTGCTTAATTATTGTCCTAATTCTTTCTGTATTTAAGTGAAACGAAACAAGTTATTTGAACGATGGATTGGACGAAGTTAAATTGTATATTCGGGAGGATAAAGTTGTTTTTACATCAATATGTTGGAATAATAACAATATGTTTAATGTCAACGAAGGCATTATGTAAATATTGTTTCGATCTTGGAAGTGTCCCACGTGCGGATATATAAAATCAGATTCATCTAAAACGGGACAGAAAACACGCAATGGTAAGCCAATCAGCAAAACATCTCATTGTATTTTTCAGTTTTTTATCATCATGCTTAACATTTTCTTGCGTTTGCCTGAACTTAGGCGTACCCCCACTTCCTCAAATCAGCGATGAGAAAAAGCCTTGTTTAACTAGTTTGCAGAATATGTAAATACTTTATTGCTACTGTCACCATCGAAGACATCGTTCCAAATAACACTAAAATTACGCTATATAAAACCAAAACCCGTGCAACAGTTCCTGGCTTATCGTTCACCGAACGAATTCGCCGCTAATTTCAATCGGAAAACTGCTAGCTCCATTTGCCCCTATGTGCTTTTGATGCTGATGGCTCTTGTGTTTAACGTTGCTCCTTAGCTTTGAATAGCGGTAGCTTTACTTGTGTCGGTATAGACTGGGCCTGTGGCGCGCGGGAGCTGGAGCCCCATTTGATCCAGATGGCGGTAAAGTTGCGCACGAGGGAGAGGGAATCATGGTGACCAACGGTCGCTATTCGCCGTTCGCTAGCGGGCCGTAACATAGACACAATATAGCAAGCATATGAAATGGGACCTAAGTTGGCGTCGACCCAGTAACTTACCCGGTGACCCAGAACTAACTGAGGTGTGGTGCCATATCGCTCGTCGCTAAGTTAAGTTCCTATTTTTCACTTTAACCAGCTACTGGCTCGGTAAACTGGGCGAGCGAAAGCCTATACGCTCTTATGCAAAGCGCGAATCATCGTTGCATCTATAGGCACACATACGCAGATGCTAGATAATTGTTGGTCTCGCAGGACTGATGATGGCAACTGAGTGGAACGGCAGCATTTTTGCTCAAAACCATGCTATAAAATTAATTGTTCAAACAACAGCAAGACGGGCCTTATGTATGGCATCAGTTCATATTGGGTTAGGGCCAAATTCGCAAACATGGAGAGCCTGAAATCGAAGCACCTGATTAATGGACCATATCGATGTTCGGAAAGTGCCACAGAATAAATACCAATTATGTCGAAAGATTGATTATGTAGATCGCATAGAAAGAACAGCTTCGTTAAATGGGTGAAAATAGGGTCGGCCTATGAAATGTGTGGGCGTCTACAAAGGTTATAAGAAAAATATCTAAGTCTTCGCGAAGTCCTGGGACATTGTAGTTAGCCAGCAAGTGGCAACCGCTACGACGCTAGCTATCATTTTATAACCTAACCTAGATTATTAGCAGGTTTTATTGAAGAGCCTCTTATAGTGTCAAATACAGAAGCCTTCACAAGCAGCTATACACATCGGCATGCATAGAACATGCTTTCGTGCAGCACGCGTATTCAAGCCTGACCTATTCGAAAGGAAAGAAATCTATGGGTGGAAATTACTAGAATATTAAAAGCTGATCTTTGCACTCTACTGTCAGACACCTTGGAAGAGGTTGACAATAATTGTATCGTGTAGTCTTACGACATTTGGCTAGCCCGACTAAACTTCAATTGAAGGAGATTAGGCGTCATGAGCTATTTAACAGAAAACGATACAGAATTACAGAAATGTATATATATATATATATATATATATATGTATACACAAATACTTGACAGAAGCACCTGTTGAAAACTAAATGAATCTAAAAAAATCATTAGATACTGCCCAGAAACCCCGTCGGACTTTTTAGGTACTTTCATAGTGGCAGCTGTTCTTCCCTTTGAAAAAATTAATCCATATTCGATTTGACTAAGCGGTCTAACCATTTGTTTGCTCTAGTTGCTATAAAAGCGATTTGGATAATAATAAAACTAAAATTTGCCCTACACACGTTTACTTTCCCATAATATAATAATAATTGTTCATATTAGTAATAATAACTCACGTGTTGGTTGACCGCAACTGCACTCATCAGATATATGAGTGATGTCCGGGCAAAGTTAAAGCTTCGCTCTTGTCGAAGGCGCAGTTTTCTCTTTTATAGAGAAACACGGATATACACAGCAGCAGAAAAACGGAAACAACATGAAAAAAAGTTACGTTAACTGTATAAGTTGAACTTCGTAAGTTTAAAAAAAACAACAAGCTAAAACGTCTACTTCACGAATGATGTTTTTGCCGCGATCTGCTTGTCAGTAGTGAATGTCTGACGTCGTTTTTATGTCCGAAAGCATGTTTTAGAAATACTTAGCTGTGTACAAGTTAATCAACAATCGCGGTCTTTTTTTTTAAATAGCCAGAAAGAGATCTGGTTCATCGAAGCAGATACAGCTTTGGCTTCACATTTACCTTAGATATAATGATCCTCTATTCAATTCAGCCTCATCTCACTAATCGCCCGCCGACGGGATTGGGTCAACGACCCTGCCCGTCTAACCCTGACTAACTCCTATGCTATTCCACAATGGACGCCCACATACATCGATGCAGCTTGCAGGGTACCCAGGCTCAATCACAGATCTCCCCTAAATGACGACAGGCTGTATGATAAATGTTACGAACGTACCTTTTGCCACTACACACTGAAGCTGGCAACGCCTGAAATTCGAACCTTCGACCCATTTAGTTCTTTCTGAAATTACAGTTAATTTCACTTACGCGACTCGTATAAAACTGTTGGTAGGAATGAGCGTCAGGTAGGCCGCTTCTGTGTTGTCAGCTGGCCGTTACAATTTTCTAAAAGTCGTAAATAAAGAGCAGGTTCTCAACTGAAGAACCTGGCGAATTGCACGAAACGACGCGGCGCGTTCTGCGTAAAACGTAAAACGATTTTCCTGCTAAATTGGGAACACAACAAGGTGTCGAACCTTGCCCACTCGCCGCTATCAGTGTCACAAGAGCACAGGGCTTGCACAAATTTTTCTTGATATCGTTGACACAAAATTGTTTCGAATCCCGTTGTGGAGGAAAAGTTAACCACTGACTTGACTGCTGACTGGGAATCGATGTTGGGAGTCAGTTAATGGGAAACAGGGCCACAGACGGGTCAAGCCGAACACTCACTTTGGCCGGGAGGGTATGTTGTGACTTGAAGGGAAAGGGACAGACCAATAGCGAGGGGAGAACCTCTATAAAGTCTGGATCATGCGACCGCCTCCTAGGCCAACACAGTCCTGAGCCACCATCAGCAATAACATCTAGGTCCTTTGCGAAGCGCTAACTGGCTACCTAAGCATCTATGCAAAAATGGTTTTTGGGACATGAAGCAGAAAGCAAACTGCCTACGGCTTGCCACGGTTGTTTGCTATGTTCAGTGAAATCGTTATACTATGGCCAGTTTTGATGTATCCACTCCTTAATGCTTCGCACTTGAGGGTGAGAGCGTACTCCCTTCAACGATTGCGCAAGCACCTGAAGCTTGGTGAGCGCGGACCAGCGACTGCCGTAGCGGCTGTCGGCCTGTCAGGCTGACTACGGATTGGCTGCAGGGAGCATCCGGAGTTCGTGAAGAGGTGGGTGAGTGCAGGGTCAAGCACGAAGTAAGGACATTGACCTCGGCCGAAAGCGAGATCTGCCACGCACTAGGATTCACCGCAACAACGATAGTTTGAATAACGAATTACCGTCCTTTCAATTAGCTTGCGTCCTTTTGAAATGTGGATATATATTTTTCGGTTCCTTTGTATGAATAAGTGTACGTCACTTATTTCCTAGGATTTCGAGTATTCGATTCGAATTCACCACTGAAGTCTATTTAGTTTAAAAAGCATCTTAGTATCAGTGGCATACTAAGTTGCCCTAATGGCAGGGCATTCGTTTTATATTCGCCTATTTTTTCAAATTAATTAATAAACCCAGGTGTTCGCTTGACGGGGCAGTGTTTGCTATTTGGCTACGACAGAACGAGATCGTAGACCTGTTCGATTATCGGTTGCATGAATGCTATTTTGGAGGGGCACTTACGTAGTAACCTTTTTTCATTCTAAAATAGTGCCAGCCCCCTCTGCGACCTTTCCGTCATTGCTGGCCTAGATATCGGGCCTCCGCTGTTCTGAATATAGCATATTTGTTTATTGTTTTGTATTGGGCTTTAAGACAGTGCGAAGAGACCTTTGTAAAGTACTGTCAAAAATGAGCTCTTGCTAACCGAGCGGAATTGCCCCTTCTTTCCTCCGCGATTACAATTTTACTTACGGTTACGTTCGTAGTTAGTTCTCCATGGCATGTTAATTAGTTTCTCCTGATTAGGTAAAGATTCTACATTGAACACTTCTTCTATAATGATTTTAGCTTACTTCAAACTTTTAACGTACTGCATGAATGAATTACGCCCGTCACGCAATACTTTCAGCATCAGATCAAATACATCAGATTTTTTTAGAGCTACCCAAATATGCCCCTGATTAACTCTGTTATTCCGGCTATAGGTTGAGCTACACATATGCACACTCAATTAAACGCTTCCCCTCTCCTATAGACCTACTAATTAGGCGCAGTACAGAACAGGAACAAACATTTGCGGCATTATTTTGAATACGTGAGACAGGTGAATTCAGATCTGCTTGGTTTGTCACAGTCGAAAGAACCTGCTGTCTATTATGAACTGCTTAGATCATCGTAGTTTCTGACAGAACTCGATATGCCGATGATCAGATCGGAAATTCTGTGTTACCCTTGAAAGGAAGCTTTTGTCAAAGCTTCCGAAAATGTATACAAAAGGTAACTATTCAAGCAATGAAGAGAAATGACTAGATATTCGTGATAAGGAACCCGTAATCTCGAAATACATTATTTTCGTTTGGCATTAATAGTTAGATTAGTACTCGCGACTCAATAGAAAATATGGCATACGAAAAATCATACAAAAAAGACAAAAAAAAAAAAGCTAGTAAAAGAAGATCGAGTTTAGCAGTAGTGTATTTTTGTTACATTTGATTAATAGACCCATTGTTTTACCAATCAACCTCTTCATTTAGAAAATTTTATAGATCCTCGTGAATAGGTATATCATCCGCACAGATACAAAAACGAGCACAACTTTTTATTAAACGACCGACCTACTATAGCAAAGCATTAAAATTTATACGTCCAGACTGCAATTGTGTGTACGACGATAAAATGTCATCCTGTCAAAAGTTCATAATTGAATTTGTGTTGTTTGATTCTCTTATATATATATATATATATATATATATATATAAAATCTTAAATATATAAGAGAAAAAAGGAAAAATGTTTCCGCAGAGATTCGGCAATAATGATTGCAACGACGAACAGTATTTGTTTGAGTTATAATATACGCTTCAACGTAACACACGTAGGTGTGTTACTAGTAGTCGACACGTTTACGAAATAAGGGCCTAGTATTTGGTAGCTACCGCCTTGTTTAACAATTACTTAAAATAAGAACTAAATTTGTGAATCTCTTTATATTTTTATGAATTAAGAAAAAAATAAGATGCATTAATGACTTACATAAGCTCAAAACATTTTAATAAACTTAAACATCATATTCGCCCCATTTATAAAATAAAGGTGCCAAATTTTACATCAGGTCCTGCTGTTAAGTGATGTAAAGACTAGGTTGGCCCTACAACACAAAGCAAATCGTGTATCTACGCTCGGATTGAGAGTCTGTTAGGAAGTTTAGGAAATTTGTTCGTGCCGGCCTGACTCACCCGGACCGATTTTTTCAAGCGATCCGTCATAGGGGTTAATGTTGGGCCTGCATTAATTTAAAAGGACATTGACCTCTCTGTTGTCTAGCACCGTCTAGGCCTCTTCTGCTTCAGGGCCCGCGTTGAATTTTCTGAATTGTTGTCACCTCTTATATTCTAGCCTCTCTTTTCGTCGCGTGACGCGGGAAGCGCTAGCGACCCATAACTTTTTATATTTTATCAGGCTCTCTACGACTTCTGCGGTCGTCGGCTAGAGTGTGAGTTAGTAAGATGCGCCAAATCCTGTGCAGCGTAGAATATTCTTTTCTCAGCCAGCCAGACGCGTAGTAAACGTATGCATTTTTGTTTTGATAATCTCACTATATATATTATGTGAAACTGGTTAGAACTTTAGTTACAGGGTACGTAAGTTCTTCGTGTGGCGGGTCATACCACGTGGCGATGCGCAACATTAGAACGCATATATATGCACCAGGTCGATGGGAGGGCGCACAACGAGGGAGGGGGAAGGGGCAAGAACCCGCCTACTGTTTTTGCCACTTCCGCAGTGTACTATTTCGTGCTGTTATAAGGTGTGCTTCCTCCTGTAGGTAACGTTTGGCTCTACACCTAGCTGGCAGGTTTGATAGTGACATTTTAGACAGCATGGCCTCTGTGGAGTCAATGCGACACACTCGGGCTAGTCTGATTCCTACTGCTTTTTGTGCGGACAGAGGAGTCCGTATCTCTCGTTATTGCGTACTATGGTAACGTAGGAGCAATGTGAAGTAGCTAATAGGCGTCCTACACTTTTCGATCGCCCTCATTGTCTGGGTATTAACCTCGTAGGTTTCACAGCAGCTTTTATAGTCTTCACCACTGCATGTTCAACACGTGCGTTAACCCTGAGTGTTGTATCGAGGACCAGTCGAAGTTGCCTAAGCTTCCTTTTTACTTCGACAGGGCCTTTGCTCAACCTAAGATTCGCACCCTGCCGTAGGCCCGCCACGTTAAGGGTGTCACCATACGCAAGATTCCACGCAGCACGCTAGCATTAGTTTCCGGGATACAACAGCCCATATGTAGCGCGATTGAACACTGCATATATAAGATATTAAGGAGATAAGCACTTGTACAGGTAAAGAGAGGTCCTCAAGCGGCCTCATTATGACTGTCCAGCAATCGTTACATCTGCACGAATCAGAAGAACGAACTCTTTTATCTTTCACGCTTCATATTTTTGTTGATGCACTTTATCAAGAACTCGAATTGATTGCTCAAAGACCAGACTTTTCTTTGCGAAACTCGCATTGAGTATCTAACAGAGCTGGCTTTTCTTCAATCTCTATTCCGAGCTGTATGATAGTATCGTTGTCCATGAGCTTGGCCGGGTTTTGAATTTAGACCTTCTCATGTATTTCTAGATTTAGTAAATAAACAAGACACCGCTATACTTTCACAGGGACACGCACATGTTAATGATACATATGGGAGTTCGAATTAACAAATGCAGATATGGGTCTTGTACGTCTCGTAAGAGTCAGATAGCTTAGCACGAGACTGAAGAGTAGCGGAAATTAGCCAGCTTCCAAAGTACAATTACATGGTCGTATTCGTTGTGTTTCAGGCGGACGCGTTTAAATCTTATTTTCCAGGCATTGCTTCATTGAAGCAATCTATGGTGATTTATATTGTTATGTCGCACATATATTAGTCCCGTAATAAGGACTCTATCCATTCGATCTGAACGGCGCAATTTTCAAATTCATTATTAACTATCATGTGGAAGATGGAATGTCACACTAATAATAATAATATTCGCGGCTTAAGGCGTTTTAATAATAGATATTAGGTTGTCTATTAACTCCTAAATTATCAGTTTTAAAGGTTCGACTACGTTACACAGTTTCCTGTTAGTTTTGTTGAAGGCCAGACCCACTCGAGAGCTCGGTAGGTAGGCTGGAGCTGGTTGTCACCACTTCCCGCCATCGGCATTTTTACCCAACTATTTTCCAATTTATGACTGAAAACGGTTCCGTGAGGGAAACAGATAAGTGAGTTTTGATTCTCCAGGATTCGGGCAGCTCATATCTACGTTAACAGTTACTAAGCAGTCGGATAACAAATTTTACTGAAAATTCCATCTTGTTATCGTTCGAGGTTCTTAATCTGCAGAGATGTTTGTTGGACCTGGATATAATGCCTCGATCTTAGACCTCACAATATTTTTTTTAACAAATTATATATAATAGAATTTCCATATGTCAGCCGCACAACTAACTTTTGGTTGGTCAAGGAAGCTCAAGTTTGATTTACAAGTTAAGACGTTCGACTGTTACCTATATGACTTTGACTTCCTCCATTGACA